TGCTCTGGGCTCCACGGAGTGTATTTTGCTGGCTGCCATGGCCTATGATCGCTATGCCGCCATCTGTCATCCACTGCGCTACACTACAATTATGAGCCGTTCTCTGTGTTTCACAATGGCTGCTGTCTCCTGGATAAGCGGCTTCAGCAACTCACTAGTCCATACCGTGATGATTCTTAGGCTTCCATTGTGTGGACGGAATCAAGTGGATCATTTGTTTTGTGAGCTCCCTGCGTTTCTTAAATTGGCTTGTGTTGACACTTCACTTAATGAAATTGTGATGTTTTCTACTAGTGTGGTGTTCCTCCTAGTACCAGTTAGTCTCATCACGGTCTCGTATGGCTATATAGCTGCTGCAGTACTGAGGATCCGCTCGGCTGAGGGAAGGAAGAGGGCCTTCAACACTTGTTCCTCCCACTTGATGGTGGTGTGGCTCTTCTATGGCACAGCCATCTTCAGTTATCTCCAGCCTTTGTCCACTTCTTCCCATGATCGACGCAAGATGATTTCCCTGTTCTATACCTTTGTCACCACCATGCTTAATCCACTGATCTATACTCTGAGGAACAAAGAGGTGCATAAAGCTCTCCATAGACTAATGAAGAAGAACTAACCCCACGGTTCGGAGCTGCATTCAACAGAAATTTTTTTTTATTTGTTATTCTTATGGTACTTTTCATTGTATTTTCTTTTCTCTCTCTCTTTCATAATAAAAATGTAAGATATCTTAGTGCCACAGTAGTAGAGAAGACTGTAAATTAAAGAATATGAAACACCCCAAACCGATAATCAGAACTTATTTTCTCAAATGTGATTAGCTTGTCCTGGCTAACAAACATCTTGTGTCAGCTCTGTTCCTTGATATGTCAGAAGTTTTGTTCCCCTGTGAAAAAGGCTTCTTCTGAACTTCTTACTGTTTTCTTTTAATGAGAATTTGAACTGGTGTTATTATTTCACCCTAGCAAATCCTGATTGCATTGTGGCTTTTGCTAGGCTTAATCCTGTCAGCATTGTGACTTTTCCATTCTTTTTGGACACTCCTACTTCCTAGACATAAAAGAAGAATTTAATCATGATTTTCTTCATCACATCACATTAGTATCATGAGTTTTTGAGGACTATATTACAATCCAGAGTCAGCAACACAATTTTTGGGGATTCCCTATATACAAATGCCCTTCCATGATGTCTACAGGGTATAAACAGTTGACATTTATTTGATTTGAAGTAAAACATGTCTATGCTGTTTGCCATTAGAAAATAAAATTGGAAATGTTTTGAAATTACATCTGTTGGTTATAACAATTAATAAAATATTGTTTGAAATGCAGAAAAAATACAGATTGAAAGCAGCAACCAATGAAAAAAGTGAAAGCAGCAGTAAAGAGTAAAAAATCACAGCAACACTAGTATAGTATTAAAATGCTCAGGAGACTAATATACCTTTGTCTGGAATTTAAAAAAAAAACAATGACAAGAGCACTAGCTATAGTACACTGGAGAGAGCATCCACATTTATGGGGCTACCAATGAGAAGGCCTGTTTGTAGACAGTGATAAGAAGTTGGTTATGTCAAGAAATAGACACAGATAAATTGAATTGGTGCGAATGGAGAATGTCAGGATTGTCTGGGGTACAACAAGTGACACAATCAACCTGGTGTCAGCCCCAGAGGCCATCTTTTCTTTTGGATCTTCAGGGCTGCCCCACTTAGTCTGTGGGAAACTGGGAGGGGGGAGTGCATGGAGTGGAGTTGTAGAGATATCTAGCCATAACAACATTCTTTTCTCTGAGAATCAAGGACATTCAGCCTGCACCTGGAGTGGTGTGACTGGGAGGCATCTCCAGTTGCGATGGTGGATTGATTGGACCATGTGATGGACACCTAGGTGCAGGGGAAGGGACTTCGACTTTCCTTTGGGTGGGGAAAACCCAGGAGCTTTCAGATCCAGGTTTCCCCAGATGTGCCAATATGACATCTCTAATAAAATGGAACTTTGAGGAATTGCTGGCCTTGGAGTCTTCATTGGTTGGGGGTATTACTTGGAACTCTCACCACCTGGACTGAAAATAAATTGAGTGACCGGTATTGGTCCATCCGTCTGCAGAGAATAATAGTGACTGCTACACACACACACACACACACACACACACAAATGTATTGAACATGGGTGCTGAAGACTTCCAGAATTAAAATGTTAGGATCCCTCAATGCCAAATCCAAAATCTCTTTGCTCAGATGAAGTAAGAAAGCAGCTGGCACTTAGTGAGTTGCCTACCATTTCTTGGCAATGCTAAAGATACAGTCACTCCATGGTGACACTTCAATGGAGAGAGAAAGTGTTTTTTGCAATGCTGCCAATATTTGAAATAAAATTTGTGGTAGAGGAATGCAGACTGGATGGAAAGTCCATGGAAGAGATATAGGTGCCCCGAGCCCCTTGTGGTTGGTCTAGATTGGGTGTGGTAGCCAAAGATGTTCCAGAAGCTCTATCCAGAACTTCATGTGGTTGTGTGGATACAGCATTAATAAAAACAGAAGCAAACCATTGAAATGTGTATTTGTGTGTGTGTGTGTGTGTGTGTGTGTGTGTGTGTGTTGCCTACCACATTGACCTGACACATTGTGCTACAAAGGCTGAACAGAAATTTGTTCTATCGTAACTTCCTTCAATAGCAAAAACGATTCTGGACCCCACTTAAAATTTACTGATCCAAACTTTTTGCACATCTCTTCCTCCCATTCCTGCATCTCCTGACACTTTTCTGACTCCTTCTATCCTTCCTGGGTGAGTCATTGGAAATGGTTTCAAGGGCTTTGCTGGACTCTGGAGGGAAATATTTTCTTCGCCACTAATTGTTCATCTTGAGTCCTGGTGTCCTGGGAATCTATGGCAACTTTATTCTATAGCAATTTTCACCAACAGATAAGAAATTGGCAAGAATTTCTCCTCCTTCTCACCCTCTGCCTAAAAAAATCTACTATGCTGCTTCACTCCTTGCCTTCTCAAGTTGCTTAATGTGTGTATCTGTATGACATATGTAAGTATTCTGGAGCACTGCTGACTTGGAAGAGCCAAGATGCCAAGGTGAGCACTCCAAATGTTCAACGGCACAGTTTCTGCTTCCTTCTTATTACTGTCTCTCCACTATAATTTCTTTCCCTTTTTCTTTAAACAGAAAGATGCATCGATCTTTTCTTTTAACTTTATTTCTTTACAAGATCAAGTAAAGAAATACCCCTGAAATTGTTGTTGCAATGTTATCTCCATTTGCTTGAGATTAAGCCCTGTGGACTATTCAGACTGACTATTTTCATATTGCTCACTGCCCCAACCTTCCTTTTTATATATTTCTTCCTTCCTCATACACTGTTCTCAGCTTGCATTCAGTTTCATAGGGTTTCAACTTTCAAGTCCCCACTAATTGATCTTCTGTCCCCATCTTTCAACCCAACCTTTAGTCTCTGGAATAGAAATATCCATTCTGAGATGCCCCAGTGAGAACTATTTTGGCCTGAAAAGGTGTCATCTGCTTTTTGAATAGAGGCTGGTTCTTCCTATGTAGTAGAAAAAGAGTCACAGAGATTCCTACTTCAAATCATACGTCCATCTAAGACCCTCCAAGCCATACATGAAGATGAGCCAAGAGATAGCAACATTTCTCTTACACAGACACAGGTGAGGTTATGGAATGGAGTGTTTTGGAGCTATAGTTACTTATATAATATAGGGGTGTGTGTGTGTGTGTGTGTGTGTTGTGTGTGTATGTGTTAACATGGAAGGGGAAGATTACATATTATCTATCTATCTATCTATCTATCTATCTATCTATCTATCATCTCTCTCTCTCTCTCTCTCTCTCTCTCTCTCTCTCTCTCTCTCTCTCTCTCTCATCTATCTATTTAATCATCTATGATGAATACTCCTTTTTAAGGTATAGAATTTCTTCATTTTAGAATATTTGAATATTTTCTAAAAATGGGTGAATATTGACAATAAAATATACTGAAACTTAACTTTTTGTTGATTACAGCTGACTTTGCCAAATGTCAGCTGAAGCTGAAGCTGACATAAATGTTTTAGTTCTCCTGGGTCTTAATGTCTGCTAGACTCTGTTCCAAGTTGTCAAATGATTGCTAAGAGTAGGAATGCCTTGATGGCACATAATCAAGCTGCCAATTGATTAATCAGGGCATTCATCCTTGCTCACTCTCAGTTAAAAGACAGAGATGGGCACTCGCCATCACTCTAGACTGCACATGGCTCTTGAGCCTGGGTCAGGCTCAGGCTTAGGGTTGTGACCTTCCACAAAAGCTCACCCCTTTGTACAAAATTGGACACGCATGTAAACCAGTCTTTCCTTACTTTTTAGTCTTGCCACAAACAAATTCTGCACTGCCTAGTGTTGTGATTGGACTCCCAACTATCTGGGAATTCATAGACTGTATCCATAAGAGAAACAGAGGACATACATTATAGTATGTGCAGTATACTTTTCCTGCACAGAAGGAGTTGTTCCCAAAGAATGTTCTAAGCCAGGGGTGGGCAACTATGGCTCTTTCATGACTTGTGGACTTCAGCTCCCAGAATTCCTGAGCCAGCCATGTTAGCTCAGGAATTCTGGGAACTGAAGTCTACAAGTCATAAAAGGGCCATAGTTGCCCACCTCTGTTCTTATTTTATCAATCTTTTAGATAAAGAGTGCACAACTGGGAAACTTGTAAGCGGTAAATGTAAGCCGTCCACCTTGTGGGGGAGATGGGCAGCATAAAAAATTAATAAATAAATAAAACTAAATAATAAACAAAGTAGATCAGGTAAATCTCTAACTTGCCATCTGTACACAATTACTCCCTTGTGGTTATTAAGGCATGAGATGGTGAAAATGTCATGCTAAAGATTATGCACCTCCAAACATTTTCATCTGGATTCCTCTCTGTTCTGTACTGAATTTCTTTTATATGCCATTACTTGTTCTAATGTGTATAGACAACGGACATGAAAACCTCGTGGGAAACCAGTAACCAAAGCTATCAAGGAGAATTCATTTTACTGGGAGTGGCTGACCGGCCATGCTTGGAGATGTTGCTCTTTGCCCTTGTTCTTGTCTGCTACATGATGACTCTTCTGGGCAACACTACTATCATTGTTGTGTCGAGACTAGATCCAGGGCTCCATACCCCCATGTATTTCTTCCTCAGTAATCTTTCCTTCATTGACCTTTGCTTCACCACCAGCCTTGGGCCCCACATGCTGGTGAACTTCTGGAGAAAAAGCAAGACTATCACTTATGGTGGATGTGTGGCTGAATTGTACAACTCTCTTGCTCTGGGCTCCACAGAGTGTACTTTGTTAGCTGTCATGGCCTATGACCGCTATGCTGCCATCTGTCATCCACTGCGCTACATTATGATTATGAGCCACTCTCTGTGCTTCATGATGGCTGCTACCTCCTGGATAAGTGGCTTCGGTGTCTCACTACTTCATACAGTGATGACTCTTAGGCTTCCTCTGTGTGGACAGAATCGGGTAGATCATTTCTTTTGTGAGCTCCCTGCCTTTCTTCAATTGGCTTGTGTTGACACTTCACTTAATGAGGTTGTGATATTTTCTACTAGCGTATTGTTCCTTCTAATTCCAGTTAGTCTCATCATGGTCTCTTATGGCTATATAGCTGCTGCGGTTGTGAGGATTCGCTCAGCTGAGGGCAGAAAGAAGGCCTTCAACACTTGTTCCTCTCACCTGATGGTAGTCTGGCTCTTCTATGGCACAGCCATTTTCAATTATTTCCAGCCTCTGTCCATTTCCTCCCGTGATCGACGCAAGATGATTTCCCTTTTCTATACCTTTGTCACCACCATGCTTAATCCACTGATCTACACTCTGAGGAACAAAGAGGTGCATAAAGCTCTCCACAGACTAATCAAGAAGAAATAAACCCATGATTCAAAGCTGCTTTTCAAGATTCCACAGGAATGGTCTTTGTTATTTTTTGCAGTACTTTTGATTTTTAGTATTTATTAGTTTGTCAAACATGTACAAGATAGAAGGTATAAATATAAACATGGACATGAACGAAGGAAATGAATACAAATAAATGGGGACAGTAAGACAGGGATGGTAGGCATGCTGGGGAGCTTATACACGCCCCCTTTATGAACCTCTTAGGAATGGGGTGAGGTCCACAGTAGACAGTTGAAGGTTGAAGCTGTGAGGGTTAATGGATGTACCTTCCTGTCTTTTGTACCTTCCTTCCTTTCCTCTCTTTTTTCATAATAAATATGCCATTTATCTTGATACCAAAACACTACACAAAACTAATACATTAAAAGTATACCAACGCCTAAAACCAACCATAAGAAGTCACTTTCTGAAATGTGGTTTAGCCTATTGTGGATAATATACTATCATCTTCTTTCAACTCTGTCCCTTGATATTCCCTTGTGAAAAAGGCATCTTCTGAAGTTCTTGAAATTTTCTTTTAATGAGAATTCGAACTGAGGTTATTACTCCACCCTAGCAAATTCTAACCACGTTGTGGCTTTGCTAGGCTAAATCCAGTCTGCATTTCCCTCCTTCTTGGACACTACAAATTCCTGAGCTAAGAAGAAGAGTTTGCTTATGATTTTCTTCCCTTATGAGACCAGTTCCCAAACTTTCCCTTTGTGTAGACCCTGAGATTGTCATAATCGGTTTTTGAAGACTATAATATAATCTAATATAATCCAGAGTCAGCAATGGCCTGTTGGGGAATTCTATATATATAATGGCTCTTCCATGGTGTCTGCAGGACCCGAAAAGTAAACAATTGACATTTAATTTATTTGATATGGACTATGTCTATGCTGCTTGCATTAGAAATTAAAACTAGAAGTGCTTTGAAATTACATGCATTGTTTGTAACAATTATAAATAAAATATAGAATGAAATAAAACTGGACAACAATTTTTGTTTTTTTAATGTAATGCAACTCTTGCATGGTTGTCCCATTCACAATACTAGGTACATATAAGCTGTGTTCCAAGCAACAGAACCATCATTTTTAGATCTTCACAGATATTCTAGTTTTCCATGGTGTACTGGATGCACTTCAAGAAAAGTTCCATGTTTTCATATGTTTCTGGCATGTGAGCAGCATAGCCAATAGCTATAGAAGGCTGTACATTGCCATTATGTAAAAACAGAAGATTTCTATAAAACGGTACATGTTAGGTTAAATTACAGATTATTTTCATGACTAGTAGCCAAAAATCAATAAGAAACACCCCAAAGTGTTCAGGAAATAAAATCTTTGTGGCCCACTGTAAGCAATCAATGAAAATAGTAAAAGTAGCAATAAAAAGTAAAGAATCACAGCAAAATTAGCCTACTATTAAAACGATCAGGAGAATAATATATCTTTGTCCGGCATCAAAAGACTATGAAGACAACACTAATGATAGTTCACTGGAGGGAGCATCCCAAATTTATGGGACTACTGGTGAGAAGGCTTTTTGTAGATACTGATATGGAAATGAGAGTTGGTTACATCAAGAGATACATACTGATAAATTGAACGTGGTGCAGATGGAGAACGTCAGAAATGCATGTGGTACAAGAAGTAATAAGATCCATCTGTGTTGAATATTGAGTGACCAGTATAAAAGAAGATACTGAGGCAGTTTGTTCACACAAAGAGAGTGTATTAAAAATAATTGCAAAACAAATATACTGCTCAAAAAAATAAAGGGAACACAAACAGAAGACATCTGAGATCTGAATGAATGAAATAGCCTTATTAAATATTTTGTTCTTTACATACAGTAGTTTATACACTGCTCAAACAACTAAAGGGAACACAAAACTACTGTATGTAATGAACAAAGTATTTAATAAGGCTATTTCATTCATTCAGATGGCGGATATCTTCTGCTTATGTTCCCTTTATTTTTTTGAGCAGTGTATATAAATGAGTAGTAAATGGCTGGAGAGGAAGGGAAAACTTAGAAGGCCATGGATGGATGGAGCTGAAGAGATACGATGTGTTTGGAGCCATAATAAGTTGAGCTATAGTCAATAGGAACATAGCAGCCAGGAATCCTAGACAGACTCAACCAATGCTGAAGTCTTCCAGAACTAATGTATTCCAATTCCAATTCAAATGCAAACATTTATTGTCAGAGTACAACATGTGTATAATGAGATTGGTTGAGCCTCCTTTTTGTGCACCCCCCAACCCTCAACACAATACAACTCACAGTGAAAGACAGAAAATTCCTAGCCCAGTGAATCAGTGGTGGGATTCAATTTTTTTTACTACCAGTTCTGTGGGCATGGCTTGGTGGGTGTGGCATGGCTTGGTGAGCGTGGCTTGGTGGGCGTGGCAGGGGAAGGATACTGTAAAATCCCTGTTTCCTCTCGATTAGCTGGGACTTGGGGGTGGGGGGGACAGAGAATAGATGGGGGCAGGGCCAGTCAGAGGTGGTATTTACCCGTTCTCCGAACTACTCAAAATTTCTGCTACCGATTCTCCAGAACTGGTCAGAACCTGCTGAATAGCCCCTCTGCAGTGAATCCTCAATTGGGTTTCCTCAATGCCAAATCTGGGACCGCTTTGCTCAGATGAAGTAGGAAAGCTTCTGAGCAGTGGGTGGGCTGCCTACCATATACTGACAATGCTAAAGATCCAGTCACTTCTTGCTAACCTCTCAATGGAGATAGAAAGAGAGAAAATACTGCTGAGTAGCAGGGTAGAAGTACATAGGTCTTCTGGGTTCACTTTTGTTTTTTGGAAGTCTATGGAGAGGATATATGTGCCCTGACCACCTCTTGGTTGGTTTTGACTTGGCCATGCTGGCCAAATACATTCTAGAAGCACTATCCAGAATTGCATGTAGTTGTGTGTGTGTATAGTATTAATGAAACACAAGAAGCAATTGAAGTGCATGTGCGTAACCCATCACCCTTAACCTGGCATTTTGTGCAAGAAATTTATTCCATCATACAGTTCCTGCAGTAGGAAATCCAATTTTTGACACATTTGAAATTTACCCCTTTGTTTGCAGAACCAAACCTTTTTTAGATCTATTCATCCCACTCCTGCATCTTTGCTCCTGTCACTTTCCTGATCCTCTCTATCCTTCCTGAGCGAACCTTTGCAAATGGTTTCAAGGGCTTTGCTGGACTCTGGGGGGAAGTATCTAGTTTGCTGCTAATTGTTCATCTTGAGTCCTAGTGCCCTGGGAATTATGACAACTTTACCGCATAGCAACTTTCACTACATATACTTACACACAAAGTCCAATACACAAGTATCAATTTTACAGGGCATGTGTGTCAGCATATCTATATCTAGATATTGATATTGATATCTATCTATCTATGTTTGAAAAAAAATCTGCATAATAAAATTGTTATTGTGAAAAACATTTTACATAGGAAATGTGCAAAAAAGGCATATGCTAAAAATATTCAAATTAAAATGTACCAATTTTTTATTTCAGAAATTATAAATTAATGTCAAAAGAGAAAGGGAAAAAACGGAAGAGTTAAATCTGAATTTGATCATAACTGAATCATATCTTTCATACCTATAATCCTATCCCTAATGAATAGCTTTCCAGGGTATCCTCCAGTGCCACTTTCCATACGTATTCAATTTTTATCTTATTCATGGGAAGTTTCTCTGTATGAAATATAAGATTTGGTTGGCTTTGGCCATGTGCTCCTTGTCAGATCTCTCCCCCTCCCACCTTTTCTCTTTTAGGCCAGCTTTCTTCACTGGGTGCTTGTTGTGGGAAAGAAAGGAAGAAGGGGAAGAATGTAGATTGCTTTGAGCTCCTGAACGGAAGATGGGAGATCAATGTAAATTCATAAATAGTGCGAAAGAGAGAAAAGTATATTTGTCAGACATCGGACAGGCAAGGTTGCTGAATAATCAAGAGAAGGGAAGGGATTGGAGTGTTCTTGCATTTCTCCTCCCTTGCTCTGGTTTTCTCTCTTTCTCTGATGCTGAAATCCCTCCACTATTAAACCTGCAGGAAAATTTGGTCTTCTTATGTACCTGGCAGCCCACTTTTTGAAGTTCTTTCATAATTCCTTGTGTAAATGATTATTGTGAGGTGGAGTATGATATCTTTTCTTTGTTTATCAAGAAGCACTTCAGAAAATGCTTTTGCTTAACTTCTGAGTCTCCAGAGTTTGGTAGGGTATAAATGTAATAAATAAATGAATACTGAATAGAAGAATAAATGTGTTGTGGGTATGGAGAAGCACCCCAATTAGAAACAGTCCTAATTGCAACTTTTTTTTTCATTGTCATATAGAAACTTGAAGGAGGATACTGGACAACCGACGTTGATGACATATTGGAAATGGTGATAAAAATGAAGCATACAAAAGTCTTAGTATATTTAAATTCTGAAATCCTAATAAAATCTATGGATGCTGGGATTCTCCCATGGCCTCCAGAATTGAGGGTCATGACTGTGCAGCTCCCTTTCCTTTGCTGAACAAAGGGAAAAACGTTTATGAATTTACCAATCTATCTCTCTTTCCTCTTATATACTTTTGTTTGCAGACTGGGAATAATCTTCTTCCTGATCTCTCACAACAAATTAAAGAATGGTATTTGGTAACTTGTCATGGAGAAAATTTATGTGATCACTAAGAGTGAGAAAGTCTTGAAGGTGTATTATCAATCAATCAATCATCCTTGCTCTCTCACACGTAAAATACAGGGATCAGCAACTACCATCACCTAATGTTGCAAATCACTGAAAAGCTCAGGTGAGGGTGAGGTTTCCACCACTACAAGAAAGCTCAGCTCTATTGCATAAAATTGGTCACCCAAGTCACACAATCTTGCTATGCACTTTTTGTACCAGAAAATCAATGTACTTAGCACGTAGCTAACTGCATCCTATTACAGCAGAGGTCTTCAGACTTGGCAGGTTTG